TGAGGAGCGCATTATCCGCCACATGACGCCGTATGCAAACCTTGATTCTGACACTCAAGGTAAGGATCTAGTAACAGCCAAGTATGGCAATAACCACTAATGGTTAGATTCGACAACCCAGGCGTAAATTCAAAACAAGGGTTAAATGTCGGTCTGTCCCGTAATCTGCCAGATATAAAATCTGGCACAGACCACATTCCTAGAGAACCTTTTTGTAAAGAAGTACCCATCGTTCAATTTTACATGACTCCCCCCATATCGTTCCACTATGGAAACTCGAACAAAGTATACAAAACCGATCAATAATCGCCCCGATGAGTGGAAGGTTGAGCAAGGTCTTGCCGCCCACAAACTTCCCATCATCGATCAAAGTGGAAAATCGGTTTTTTTCGTCGCTCCGCACACGGAAGCCCCAGTCACAAAAAACGAAAAGGCCATTCGTGCTGTTGGCGATCGAAGTAAACTCTTTGCCCGCGAAAAGCCGGGCTGGACAGGGTATAGTTTTCCATGAGATGACAATGTATGGTTGCAAGCGACTCGACTAATATATTCCGTGACTTGCCAGCTACGTTGAGTGGGAGGAATACCCTGCAAAGAAAGCCAAAGCACACGAAATCTTGACTTCGCAGACTTTTGCGCCTTGCCCTGACTTTCAATGGGGGCCCATACCCCCAACCAATCCCGTGTTACCAGGCGATGACTTTAAGTCATGGCACGCCGCACTAGGTGGGGAGCTAACTCGAGTCGCCGATGATTCTTGGAAAACAGTTCTGAAAGAGAAACATCCCGAAATGTTGCACCTGCTGCAATTCCCATACAACGGAGAACCACCGAAACGATTGGTTACAGACAAGGCTATTACTCCAAATTCACTTCACTTTGTGCGTAACCACGGCGGTATCCCCCTGATCGACGAGAAGAAATTCGAATTGAAACTCGATGGTCTTGTCAAGTCGCCCAAAACATACACTATGAAAGATTTGATGGATGAGTCAGTCTTTCCACGCATGGAGAAGACAATTACAATGCAATGCTCGGGGACCCGTCGCATTGAGCAGATTTCTATGTACGCTGGACAAGGTGACGAAGTTCCCCAGGCTCCATGGGCCGAGGGTGCTATAGGTACTGCGAGATACAAAGGCATAAGTCTCAAAAAGTTAATCAAAGATTGCGGGGGGCTAACCAACAACGCCAAGCACCTTGAACTATATGGTGTTGAAACATATGTGAAAGACCTTAATGTTGGAAACTACGTTGTTAGTATCCCATGGTCCAAAGTCAAAAGCAATGAGGTTATTCTGGCGTGGGAAATGAATGGTGAACCACTTCCTAAGATCCACGGATTCCCATTGAGAGTGATCGTTATGGGATATATTGGAGCTCGCAGTGTGAAATGGCTGTATCGCATCAAGGCCATTAAGAGTCCATCCCTGGCACCTGTCCAAAGCAGAGAGTATCTGTACTTCAACCAACAGATGGGCAAGTACAACCTGCGCCCTATGGACGGAATCCAGATCCAGGAGATGCCTGTAAGCTCTGCTATTATGTCTCCATGGCAGAATCAAGTGATTATGCATAGTGGCAAGATCCATTGCAAGGGTTGGGCTTATTCCGGCGGTGGTCGTTGGCCTGAGCGTGTGGAGCTATCAGCCGATGGCGGCTTCAACTGGTACGCTGTACCAGAAGAGAAACTATCGAAGAAGGGCAAATGGACTTGGAGGACATGGGAGATAGACCTCCCTTGTGATGTGGAAGGTTGGGTTGAGATTGTGTGCAGGTGTTGGGACAATTCTTTGAATACCCAGCCCCTTAATGTGCGAGCAGCCTGGAACTGGGGTCTGCATGTCACATCCTCAGCACACCGTATCAAGCTCTACAGCGTCAACAAAACCCACAAACTCACTCAACAAAAGTTGGCGCAATTCAAAGAGCACGACATTCCACTAGCCCCCCCCTAACCAGATACGACCCTGTTCCAGGTATTGCCGATGGCGATATTGAAAAATACCAGGAAGCCCACCCTCGCGATGTCGACGAATGATGTTTTTTATTATTTTCGAGCTCACAATCCCCGCTCTGAAGATGCCCCAAACGCAAGATTTACAGAATAACTCTGTTCACAATGAGAATTATCAGGGTGAAAGAAATGCATCTTCCACCAATCTTGTTTTGGGGTACATCAATCAGAGCAGTTGTAAATGGGGCCATCTGGACGATCTGAGCTTATTTGAGGTCCTTTTCATGCGAAAAAGCTGATGAACCTTTTTGATCTATCATTATGCTAAATTGTCCTTCTGATTAATAATTCATGTAGCCCGATTTAAAACTTTTTGGAAGCCGCTTATAGGGATTAACTGATGATCACTAATCTGCTCTAAGAATTCAAGAGATGTGCTCAGATCGCCTCGGAGGAGCAAAAGGCAGCGCCCAATTACCACTAAAACGGAATCGGAATAACAAGACGTAGTGTAGGAAATCAAGTACATAGGTTACACACGTGGTACGGCTGCAAGGCTTGATAGAGGATTAGGATGATGAGCCGTCGGTATCGACTTTCAAACGTCAAGGATCAGAGAGGCAGCTAATAACAAATTTCAACCGCCCATCATGATCCCTACTGCTGCCTAAGCCGCCCCAATCAAAGCGGGGATCGCCAAGGCAAGGGACACAAAGGCCCGGGAGGCTAGAACCAGGAAACGAAGTGAGAACAGCAGACATTCAACGAACCTATACAACACTATGAAGCCCCAGGTAATCAAGATAACTAAGCGGGCCAAACGAGGAGAGACTCGGAACAATAGTCAGATCAGGTCAATCAACATGCATGATCTGGAGCACTAGATACACCAAGACCAGACCCAAGTGGACCTTTCCAGGTGTTGGGACTTTTCTTTGAATACCAATCCACTTAATGTGCGAGCAGCCTGGAACTTGGGCCTGTATGTAATACATCTCCAGCACACCACACCGTATCAATATCTACAGCGAACCCGATATGATTTGTAACCCACGGAATGGTCAACAAGTAAACTCTTTGCCGTAATTCAATACAACGAAATTAATATTTTAATATTCTAGGAAATTCCAAATCATTCTAGGCTTCATTTCATGTTAAGAAAAATATGACGTGAATTTTTTGAAAGTGTTGTATGTTATTAGTTGGGCCGTTATTATTACATTATACTCCGTCCTAATTAGAACAAAGCAACATTTCGCTTTGTCCCATGATCTGTACTTACCCGCAAGTAAGCTGGCGTTCAGGAATTTACAAGGAGAGCCGATTGCAGTGGCATGTCAAACATGGGATTCAGGGAGATATATATAGAAAGCTTCTTCTCATACGAAGCCATATGAAACAATCCACGGCGCTTGCTACATCTGTAAATGTGGCGGCATGAGCAATTTGGGAATCGATTCCGATAAAGTTTGAATGGCCTTTGGGTGGGTCAGCGCAATCAACCTTTTCCAACCGAGGGTGAACATCTGCAGTTGGTCGCCTGGCCCAACGGTCACCATTTTTGAGTAATACTAGAGCACCAATAAAATCTAACTAAACCCCATACAAACTTTCACAGTGGGAGCGTCTTTTAGAATTTACCTGGCTTACCAAATCCAGCAATGAAAGGATATTTGGTTAATTCATACAAATTGATGGCATAGGCCACCACGGGTTGATGCTCTATTAGGCAGTGACGATTATTGCATGACCAAATGATGCAGAGAGGATATCATTCATTATTTAATCCAGGAACTTCAACAGACAGGCAGATTCCACTCAGTCTCAAGGATATCGAGGCCGCAGCAATGCCATGTTATACGATGTGTGAGAGCAAACTCACCTGTAAGTCAATTTTCATGATTGCAACAACGTGCTTCAAGTTAAATTGTTTTAGTCGATTCGTTGCCTAGTGTTTGTGAACTTTGCTTTGAAGATATGGAGTGCGATTCTGCCTTTCGTCAGATACCGTGCGGCCATATTTTCCACAAGCCTTGCATTGACACATGGATGGCTTCAAAGGATGCCAGTTGTCCAAAGTGCCGTGATACATTCTATTATCTACGTGGGTCACCATCATCCAACGTCAGGAATACGGACCGCGACCGGGGAAACTATCACCATTCAATCAAATGTTGGCACAGCCTCTGGCGGTGGATTCGGAACAAATGCCATCTTATGTGACTTTCAATGGGAATAGGCTACTATGGGCTACGTTGACCAGTAGTGAATGCCAGTCAGGTGTATGATTACAAGACTAGATTAAGAAAGTAAGCGTTGTAAAAATTCGAATAAGCAAGATCGCTGGAAGAACCGGTCGTTGCTCCTTTTCGTTAAATTGTTGAGAGTTTTCTCGTCGTTAAGCTCAAGTCATCACGTGAATCCAATATTCGCCACGCCGAGGAGAAAAATGACGCATGATAAGCTCGTAGTTGTGGTGCTAGTCAAAGGTTTCAATATCTCCTCACTTTCTGGCAAAACAAGACACCGCGGCCGACCACATACCAAGACTTTCCCATCTCAAGATTCTAAGCACTTCACCAGTAAGTGCACAAATCAAAATAAGATATTCAATCGCGCTTACTTTAGCGAATGTAATATATCCAGAAAGGGGTTCATTTCGCGCAGATTTTTCAGTGAATACAAAAAAAAAGGAAACCCCAAGCTCATCGCTCCTGCAGACATCAGATCTCCACTGCGGTAAATCGAACATGTGCAAGAGTGGCCGTGAAATCCTATCTACGTAGGGCTAGTTACCACGTGGAATTATTCAAGTATTTACATCCCTAATATCATACTGAGCCTTATTCTGTATTTATTGCAAGAGAATATCCACATAAGTCGAAAGGTGACGTAAAAGATCGATATAAGCGGAAGTAGTTGTCTGCTCATGAGGGGAAAGTGATCTCCACACGGTCCTCTACGCCATGCCGTTTTAAGTCATAATAGTCACCGTAGGCGGCATACTACGATGCCTTATTCCTAAGGCTGACAAACACCAGCCGGCCGTCAACGTAACTCGCTTGTCAACGTCACCATTTTTACCATATTGACCACCACCACCACCACCGCAATACCTAGTCAGTACCAAGCAGTAGAAGCACGTATTCAGACCGCCTGCTCAGCGATCAGATGTGCTGAAAAGCCTAATTTCGCGGCGTTAGCACGCGAATTTGACGTTTCCCCCTCCCGCCTCCGGGCAGGCTATAAAGGCCGCCCATCGCGCAGCACGCGGCATATGGCATATAAGCGCCTAGACGACGAACAAGAAGCTTCATTAGTAGGCTGGATCACACGTCTAGATGACCTAGCAGTACCACCTACAACAAGCATGGTTGTGGTGAGTGCTAATGCATTATTGCGTCGGCAAGACCCCGCCGCAACTTGGAAAGGACTGGGTGTACGATTTTGTCCACAATCGCCTTCCGAAAGACCTTAGTTGGGTCCATAAGAACCCTGCAGACCAAAATCGTATTACTGCACAGGATATTGGTGTTTTTACCGCTTGGTATGAGCGTTTAGAGCCTCTTTTGAAGACAATCCCCCCCCAAGCATGTGTATAACTTCGACGAAACTGGCTTTATACTAGACCAAGGACGCCCACAAAACGTCATTTCGCGCAATAGACACCGAACCTATACATATTCATTTGAAAGATGTCAATTATTGACAGGAATTGAATGTATTGCCGCTGATGGGTGGAAAATAGAACCCTATTTTGTCGCACCGGGGTCAGTTCATCTGATGCGCTGGTATGAAGGTGGCACTCTTTCAGAGGCTACCAGAATAACTGTTTCGGACACTGGCTATTCAAATGATTTGATGGCACTCGACTGGCTTGAACATTTCCATCATAATACTAAGGATCGCCTATCAAAGAAGCGGAAGCAATACCTGCTTTTGATTATGGATGGTCATGACAGCCACCTGACCTACGAATTTCTTGAGCGCTATGACTCTTACAATATTATTCCATAGTGCTGTCCACCTCACACGACACACCTGATCCAGCCACTTGATGGGTCTCCATTCCGTGCATGAAGCAAGCCTATCGAACCAAAAATAACCAGATTACCCAATGGGGTGGAGATGCCCGCGATACTGGTGTTTTTTTTCCAAGAAATAACACAAATTCGTGAAGAAGCACTACAAGCACGCACTATTCGGAAGGCATTTGCTGATCGTGGTATCCTACCATATAAGCCTGAGCTAGTAATTGATCATTTAGTAGCTCAGCAGCCCCCTAAGCCTGAGCTACAGATCTTTGATGGTCATAATGGTGCTTTATCACCACATACTATGTCTAGTATTCCAAGCAGTCCTCCTACTAGGCTTAGTGCACGTCGTACACGCCAAAAACTGGGCCATATTGCTAGTCTTGAGATCATTCCGGAGAAATTAGGCCGCTCATTACGTCGTGTTGGCCGATCGCAGGTTTATCTTACAGAGGACAATGGTCTCTTAGTCGATACATTAGAGAACCAATTGCCTAAAAAACCTACAATTGCACGCAAGTCGCAAAAGCAATTAGGCAAATTTGGTACCCTGACTACCAAAGATGCTATTCGACACGCTCGCGAGCGCAATATAAGGGATGAAAAGAAGGATGCCAATGCAAAGGTCCGCAGTACAATACCTTTAGGAGCACCCTATACCACACCTACACCAAAACCCCTAGATAGCTATACAGAAAACTATCCAACGCCACTATCTGATGACAATTGGCCACCAGATAGGCCCTATTAGAGCATTTTGTGGCGGTGGTGGTGAAAATAAATAAAAAAATTGCGTTGACAAGCGAGTTACGTTGACGGCCGGCTGGTGTTTGTCAGCCTTAGGCATAAGGCATCGAAGTATGCCGCCCAATGGTGACTTATAGCCAAAGTCGCTCTAAGATGCGCATGCGCACGCTACAGGACGGGTTCGGGAAAGACTCGGTAAATGCCGTCCTTGGATCGCGCGCCTGCCAGCTTTTCTGATTTGGTAATACTAGAATTCCACTCACCCCCCCCCCCCCTCTCCCTCAACTTTTAAACCGTCTGACACCGCCGGCTTGACCTGTCTGGACCTTGCGTCGGGTTTTCGAATCCATTTTTGATCCACCCAAACTATGATACTGGCCAGCTGACTTGTAAGGAAGTGCTTGTTGTAGCTCAGAGGTATTAATTGTCTTATTGTTCAAAGGGAAACATTAGGCTATATATATAACGAGAAGAGCAAGTTGATTCCCAATCAACTTGATTCTTCGTATAGATACATCGGGATTAATTCCGATGGTTCGGCTTGGTTCCTGATCTGCACCAGCCTCATATCACAACAATGACAAAAACTTCGACCACCAAAGCGGGTATTTGCCGTCATTATCTATACAGTTCACATCCACGCGAGGATGCCGGAGAATGAGGTCGACCACTTCCAAGCGTCGACTGCGGACAGCGAGATGGAGTGCTGTCGCACCATTGCTGTCGATTACCGCCAGGTCAAGACCTTTTCGCCCCAGGAGCAGCTTCACAGCATCGACTGATCCATGCGGGACTGCCCAGTGCAGCGCCGGCGCATCAGAGTGAGCACACATTGGCCGAGCATACTCTTCCTCTCGTGAAAATATAGCCTTCATAGAGGGCCTATCGTATTGGAATGCCCAATCCCGGGGCGAGCAACCAGAATCATCGTATGTGTAGGGATCACCACCGTTGGAGAGCAACACTTCCACTAAGTCGATTCGGCCCCACCATACGGCGAAATGGAGTGCGGTCTGGCCTCGTCGATGCCGGAGGTTGACTGCGCAGTCGGACAATTCCAAGAGAGCCCGCAGCGTCGAAGATGATCCATATGTAACTGCAAACAATAAGGCGCTTTCCTGCTCTCGGTTTTGGATATTGATATCTAGCCTCGGAGTTTCCAGCAGGAGCTTGAGAACTGCAGATGAACAGTATTTGAGAGCCCTCATGACCGGGGTTCTCGCACGAAAGAAGGCATTGACGTTTGCTCCGTGGTGAAGCAACATGAGCGTAAGATCAGCATTGTCATCTTTGGCGGCTAGGCCAAGAAGATTACTGTTCTGATATTCGATGTTAAATTGGAGTATTGCCTTTCGCAGACGGTGATACAGCGCTCTGCATGATCTTGCAAGACCAAATTTTGCTCTACCATGCAGGTATGTGGCAATCATCAACAATATCTCTTGAGGCAAGTCTCGAATTTGACTCTATTCATTATTAGCTTTCCAAAGGGTAATAGGTCGTGAGAGGACGTGACGAACCATAATGTGGTGGTGGTTTGAGGGGATGTGAAAATGAGAGGCTTGCCGAAAGCCAAGAGACACGAGGGCAGCTTTATTACGGCTTTCAGTCCCCAGGCTAGTGCATCCGAAAAAGAATAGTCTGCAGCTCTAAATAGGTCGTCACAGGCTCCTGGGATCTAGTCGGTGGACCCAAAGGTCTCATTTCTGATGCCAAAGTCAGCACTGAGAGCTCAAGCGCTTGGAACTCCCAGGAATACGAGAGGTGTTCCCCGAATCGCTGCAATCTTCTCATTATGTCACATTTGGTGTGTCTCCAGACCACAAGCTATTTCTACCAGAGGAAAGGGGTTTGAACATTTCAAGGTATGATGAGTACCGCGCCGCTCTAGATACTACCGTCTATTTCAGGGTAGCATCGGACCTAGTATTCCGAAAGGGCTCGCTGCTTACCTTTTCAGCATCCGTACAGCTCGCCACCAAGCCTTGAAGAATGTGAAAGAAAATGCTTCTGAAGAATAGCATGGCCACGCTTGCTGGTGTATTTAAAGAAGGCTCAAGGTAGCTTCAATTGGATCTCACCTCCCTCTATTCATTCAAATCAGATGTCCTCAAGCTAATAGCTACCTTGATTGCTCTTATTTAATATAAGTTGCTTCTTTTTTTGATAGAGTGGAAAGAATATTTCTATCGATCCAGACTCCTTATTTTATTTCTGAATCTATGGCAGAGCCGCGTAGAATGGCAGCCTCGTGCTCTAGGAAAGTACGGCGGCCCTGCATCCCCTGTCGCGTTTCCAAAAAAGGCTGCAATAGAGAGATACCCGCCTGCCAGTCTTGCTGTGGCCGTGGGCAACCAGGTCTATGCTTGTATGAAGAACGGGTCCCACTATTCTTGGGGTACGACACAACGACACCAATCCAACCAGAAGGCCTGGAGCGGCAGGAGATTTTTTTCGAGGCTGAGCGGACGCAGGATACTGAGCGAAATGACAAGACGACGGATTTCCAAGAAGAGTTTTGTGAGACCGGGCAAGCTGCCTATCAATCGGGGCAGGAATTCCAGTCTCCATCTGCCTATGCCGCCTCATTAAACAGAAATTTCCAAGCCAGCAACAGCCAGATAGAAGACTGGACAAACGAAGGTGAATTAGTGACGTCGAAGAGGTCATCTCCTCGTCTCGTCAGTCGGTGTTCCCTCACTACAGGCGATCCTGAGGAGCGCCCGAGCTCTTCCAGCCCTTGTACAACGCAGTCATACTTTGATATGGCACTTACGGTAGATTCGACGGTCTCTTTGTACATTAGCATTCACGGCTCACACTATTCCAGGTTTCCTTGCCACCTCGGCTCCAACCCCAAATTCCAGCACCTGGCATTCTGTTAGCCGAGAAATCCCACACCTTGAATCAGCTCTTACTGGTCCTCAACTACTTATTCATCACTGCCATGCTCCCTACAAATGAAGGCTCCTTGTGGGCCATAATATACCGGAGTGACTATGGCTGGGAGAAGAGTTTCGTCTTGCAGTACAGTCAGTTGCAGTCCTGGCTCAGTGATATCCGCGACGCTTTATGCGAATCTCAGGGCTTGCATACTATGTCCTACGAAGACTTGGAAATGCAGATCCGGTATATTCTATTCCTTCTCGGACAATATTCATGGCAAGAGTCTAGCTTTGTTCAAACGTGCTTCGAACGACCCTGTTATCCTTACAGACCATTTGGTGTGGGAGCCAGTATCGCTCTGATATGCTACGCTTTCATGGGCATTGATGCTCTGCATATACGGGGCTACGAATCAAAAATCTGGTTACGTGACGAGCTATTCTGTTCTGCCATGCTGGAGCATCTGAGAGTGTCACCAATATTCTCCTCTGACCTCTCGATGGGGTAGCTGCAGTCCATCCTCACAAGTCTTCAAAGGGCGTTCCAGAACGAAGAAGTCAGGGTTGCGGCGGTACTGCCCCAAAGAATTGATGTCAAAAACAGAGCGGAGGTGATAGACTATTACACGCATGCATTCTTATCGTTAGATCCGCTCCTTCTTCCCAGAATCTCTCTGGTTTGGGGGATTAAGCCATTTGCTAACTGCACCATTCGTGATTTGGCCACCACCTCTGCAATTTTGTTCTACAGCAAAATTCTGATCCGAGATCTAGAAGAAGGTATCAAAATGATCCCTGAAATTATGCAATCCAAGCCCGATCGCATCGTGGTCACGGGAATGTTTCATGTCAAAGCGTGGCAGGAAATTCATCGGGGTGGCGGCCGAGAAGAATTGTATATTAATGTCTTTTATGTTTCTGTCGGACCTATGGCACAGCGGATGACCTAGAAGGGGCTGGTATATTGACTGGATGACCAGATACGAGAAAGCAATCTAGTTACTTAATTCGAATAGAAAGGACCATTTTGAAGATTTTTGATCGTATGTATCATAACCGAGAGAGTAGGCTGCGGTAAAGCTATAGGAAAAGCATCATGCATGCCCGCCGTGGTAAAAAGTACTGTACCGAAATTCAATTGATGGCATAGCTGGCCCCATGGCTATAATCAGCCCTATGCAAGACGGTGCCCAAAAACGCTGTTCCGTGGCGAGGCTGAGGACGTGCTTCCACAGTCACCAACGTTGCGAGTTTTGGCCTCCCTGCCGGGGCTGAGAAAGGCAGAGACTTTTGCTTGTGTATCACCACTTGCTGCACGGATGAAATCAGTTCAAGTCTCAACGGCATAGTATTAGGTGAATCATCACTGAATGATCTAAATTATGATCCATCACCATCCAATTTCAGAATCTGTTTTGGAAAACTTGCCGCTATTACTGCATAGCTGCATAGCTCGGCGTGGATGCTTTTCTCTCGTCATCATCTTGCATATAAGTGTCTTGGTTGATTTTTTTTACACGACATCACCCCCCCTATACAAGCCTTTGGATCGCCAATTTGTCTATCCCAGCTTCGCCGCATTGCTTTTAGGCCCGTTCTGTACTCATGACTACGAAAAAATGGATCTCAATGGCAAGCCATCGTATAGACACTCAAAGCTCGACTTCAATCGCTTCCGTAAAAAGCCCGTCGGTATGTGATATATCTTATTCCAGCTTTGGCAAAGAAAAAAGCTAATCCTGATCAAGACAAGCCTCAACTTCCGGTGCATCGCTCCTCTGAAGCTTTCGTGGACAGGTTTCCTTTCCTATATTCGAAAACCGAGGAGATTGTCTGGAAATGGGAGCAGTCCAAGCTCTGTGGCCAGAGCATCAACACTACCTTGCATTCCACCATCATGCCACAAGATCACCATTCCAACAGACCTGACAGGGCAGACAAATTCGTTTCTATGCTGAATGGAAGTGTCGTCGTGAAGCATCCGGCCTACCTGACGAATCTGAAGCCGGAGGATTATCAGGTGGGATTTCTGCATACAGAAAACCTGACAGATATGAAGATCATCCTCCTTGGGCTACCCGAATGGAAAAGACCTTCCAAATTCCGGGAAAGCATGCTT